ACTTTACAAAAAGAAAAGTTTGTTTATGCCTCAGTAGGTAAGGCATCACAAAAATATACTAATTGTAGCTAGAAATAACAAAACTGCCATTTAAAAAAAAAATAGAAGGGAACCTTGACTAAATGAGAAGGTAGCAGGACTAAAAGCACAGTTTAGACCAGAAGGCTGGAGAGGAGCTGGGATTAATTTTTCAGTCTGTGTTGACTTGCCTGCTGAAAGTAGTCCCAGCAATCCCAGAAAGCCTTCTTACTCTGGAGCTAGTAGCCAGCCTAAATACAGCTGCAAAACTTCAAGGAGATTTTTTTTTTTTTTGGTAGCACGCAGTCATTGAGTTCAGAACTAAATTCCAACAGAAAAATTTCGAAAATAATCTCAAAGGAAGAATTCTTACGATAGAATGTCTAAAATATAAATTCAGGGTATCTATTTGTCACCTTGTTTCAACTGATTCACAGAAAGGCAGCTGGCCGTGATGGACAGCTTATGGTGTTACTCTGCCTTGCTCGGTGGAAGATGGAGCAGGTTTAGCTGGGTTGCAGGAGTTGTGCCAGCTACAGGAGACAGCCTAATCAACCCTTGGCAAAACCTGCCTCATCATTCAGCCGAGCGCCTGCCAGCCAGAACCCCACTGCTTGAAGGATGGTAACGCTAAGGAGAGACTTTCTGGAGGGGAAATTAAAATTCAGAAAAGAAAAGACGACAGTGATTTTTCTGGATTCCATCCCCTTCCCCTGCCCCCCCCAAGATTATAAAAGTCTTCTTTTCTCTTGATCCTTCAGGAAATGCAAAATTTTAAATAAACTTGGGATTTGTTTCATTTGGATGCTTTAAATGATTCCTTTGAGCCTGTAAGGCCTACGGTCCCCGAACAGACTTCTGCAGCTGCTGCACCTAATTTCGTTTTGGCATAGAAAGAGGCTAGGACATGTCTGTGCACTGCAGTCTCGCTCTTCTCCCTCCAGCAGGAGCTAGTATCATGATTCAATAAAATTTAAAAGTGCCTTTCATCACCTACATTTGTACAGAGTGATTGCAACTTCAAACAGAACGAATACAAGTAAAGCAAGCAGAGCACTGTTTACAGGGTGACAGCTGATTGGCAGGCAGAAATACAATTATGGATGATAAAAAAGGGAAAACAGAAATGCAAACTATTGATTTCTTGGACTAATTTAGAGCTCTGTTCCTGATGTTGATCAACAAGGCATGTTCGCTTATGATAATCCAAGGGGAGTTTGTAGTATACACATGTCACTTAGGACACTGAAGGTTAAAGGGACTTATTTTTCTGCATCCTTGTTTTTCCGGTGGTAGAAATATATTTGAAAAGAACTGCTGTCTGAAATAGATATAGGATTTTAGGCTCTAATGTAAATTGGTAAACATATTGTCATAACAAAAATCAAAGCAAAGCAATCACCAGGAATTCAAAATCCCCAGCATTATCTTGGATATAGGGATGAAAATATGAACTCTGTCAAGCTGTTTTAGCTGAGTGCAGTGTAAAAAGCAATTTAATATGGATCACAGAGAAGTCAGAAACCAAGACACTGCTGATGCAGAGATCAGCAATCACTGTCAAAGCAGACAAAGCTGCTGTTTCATAGTTCTTGGCCTCTTCTGCATTGGACTGGCACCCAGCACCTCCCTCCCAAGCTATCTGGGATTTGGTTCTGGTTAGGAGGAGGGGTGGCAGAACACCCCCTCGCCCTCTGTCAATCCATGACACCTAAATTGAGAAAACACAGAAAGGGTTTCGCAGTCCATTCAGTAAGAGAGAGAGAAATGGAGTGAGGGAAGGTTCATATATATTTTGTTTAAAGTTTATTAAATACATCTCTAATTCTGACAGATTAATGGTTTGCTGAGCTCCCACTCCCCATGAACAAAAGATGCTGACCAGCAGAGCACCCTGTACTCTTCCACAGACTCTTATTCTCTCCCATCAAAGACCAATCATAAAACTTAGGCTAAAATGAGGGGGGTTTAAAAGAAAGCATACAGGAACCTTGCTCTGAGTTGATTATTCTTCATTTTCAAGCTGGCAAGATCGATAAATGAAGAATATACTTTCAAAGTTTAACCTGCAAGGACAATTCACATCTTTCCCCCATCTGCTTGCCTTTTAGCACCTGTAGATAATACCAATTTTCAACTTATTTAATACGCGTAGCACAGTGTTAAAAAACAGTCGCGAGTCTTTCCTTGGTCTGGGCCTACAGAAAGCGGATTCCAGCAACTGGTTGCAATCAAGCACTTCACAGCATTTAGTTTCTAAGAACACAGAAGGCCAGATACAGTGCTGAATACAACCAGAGATAAATACCCTCTCTTACTGAAAATCAGTAACTTGAACTCTAAAGAACTACCTTACAACTGAAAGAGCACTATTCTGCAAGGTTGTCTGCCCTGATCAAATAATATTCCAACAAACTGAAGAATTAAGCAAGATTGCAGGCAACGAGCAAAATCATCTTCGTCTACAGGACTCGATCGCATCCAGCACTTTACTCTTTCCTCTTCTGTCTTCCTCACAGGATTTCCTGGTGCTGCAAGACAGTTTCACTCCACAGAGCGGCAAGGGGAATAGGTTCACAAAAACACAGCAGAATTTAGCAGAAATGGCAGGAACAAAATTCACCCAGCAAGCCTAGTAGCTGGAGACAAAACAAGCTTTCTATCTGGGCAAAGGCAATTTCAGAAAGCCAAAAAGTAGAGCCTAGTTAGTGCTGGACTGTGGAGATGTGGCCTAGAGAGGTCAGAAAGAGAAAACAGCACACCAAATCACTTTATACACCTTCAGATTCTAAGGGAAAACTTCTTCATCCATCCAATTTGTATGCACAACAGTAATTTCAGGAAACTGTTGTTAAAAAAACTTCCTCAACTTTTAGTGCGTCAAAAAATAATAGCATAAGAATCCCTTCTAGTCTCTAAATATATGAGTTTTCTTCTGAACTTTTGGAAATTCAGAGCCAAAACTCTTTGAATACCTATAAAATCTCAAGCAACGCATTCCTTTTTCCTGGAGGGCCTATCTTAAAATGTCTCTGATAATGCCAAGAGTTGATGTTTCTCTCTCTGAACAGATGGTAGCCACAAAGGCAGTATTCGCGCACAAGTCAAGTAACAGTATCGGTACAAAAGCTCAAATGGACTCGCTGTAAAGCAGAACCAGTCACGCTTCAGAGAAAGGTGGTTTGCACCTTTACTTTATGTAAGCAGGTGATCTTGAATCCTTCAACATCTAGATGGAAACCCACACATAACACATTTAAATCCCATTCCCATGGCTCATAATTTAGTCTTGGAATCCAATACGTTGGTTTTCTAATATTTTGTGTTTTTAAAATATACTTAAATAGATATTTAATAGTTTATACCTTTGAATCAGCCCCAATTTTGAGCAGAAATTTGATGAATAATCTATTTTCATCTAAGAACAGCTCACATTCAGAATCAAGTATACCACCTCTTATTCAGTCACCAAATTATTCTGATTAACTTGTGACCCACACACTGTGGGGTAATAGTTTATTTGGGGCTATTAAAGTTGCTCTGACTTTATTCTTAAACTATAAGAATTTTTGGCACAAAGTACTGGCAAATTCAGAACTTAATCCATGAAACCATGATGAAACCCAGAAGTAGTCTTTTTCAGCTTTATAAAAAAAAAAAAGAATTAAGCCCAAAGTCTTTTCTGATCATGTAAGACATGAAACTAAAACTAAGAGCCTGACAAAGGCTGTATAGCTTCATGCTCTTCTGAAATGACAACTTCATGGCAGTCCACACTATATAGTATTTCCATCTTCATCTGATATAGTGTCTAGTGTTAAGTAATACAGCCTTTTTCTGTTACTGCCTAAAATCAAGTACAGTATACAGCATGGTATATACACTTGTATCACTGATGGACAGTAATACAAATAGTCTGTTGCAAACTCTGTTAAAAGAAATGGCAAGCACTGTTTTTATACAACTTAATTGTGTTGGCTATATATGGAGCTCTTCCTGTTTTTCATGCCTGATAATCTGCATTGCAGCTATGTCGCCTTTTATTTTTTTTTCCCTCCTCAAAGCTCTTTTAAAGAAAGGACATTACTTAAAATGAGGAGAAAGAAAGGCTCATTCTAAATCAATGTACTGGTAACCAAGCCTGCTAAAATAAGGATTGCATAGATCAGAAACTAAGGAGTACATTTTTCACATATTGCTACCTGTGATCTCCAGTTTGGAATTCTTATAAGAGCAGCAGATATTTAGCATCAGATTCTTGGTTATGTTTGGGGTTTTGTTTGCTGGGGTTTTTCCTCCCCCTCTCCAATTGTAGTCTTTGTTTTTTTGGTATAATGTACAAAAAAATTGTAACCTGTCCAGCTGGAACATAAACATATTGCTGCCTTTGATGAAACAGCTCTATAATGATGCTATTGTCATATACATGTATTTGTCTATTAAAATCTCCTAGCGTTGACGCCAAAGGTCAGTTGATTATAGCTCAGTTCATTTTTTGATATTGTATTAATCACATCAACTGTTCTACAGGCTGAACTTCTAGTTATCATAAGGTACACCTGCAAAAATGCATGTCTCTTCTGTTTAATTTTTTTCCTTGAAACAAGCTCTAGTACCATTCCCCCAGCATACAAAGTAAATACAACTTTCAGCATTTCCTGCCTGTATTAAGAGTTTAATGTAGTATGTGTTATTCACCTAGGAAACCTTCCTTCTTCTGCTTTCGCAATTAAGATTTCTGCCTTTTACTGACCTGAATGAGGAACAATCCATTACAACCCCACAAAACAAAATGATACTGCTCATTTCTGTCAAACGCTGGAAATACAATTCTAGAATTTCACCACAAAACTCTCTAGTGTGTTAGATATTTAGTCTAAAATACTAGACATTTAGTGTAAGACCTCTGTACAAATAAAAAGTGGCAGTCTCCAACTTGCAATGACTGACTGAAACAAAGGGAGGAAAAGAAATCGTCATACCGGTGGACCCCACTGTTGCACATAATGATGTGACAAGCTCCAAGCCTGCTACAGAGTTCAGACGACACTGAAAGCAATCCAACTCCAGAAGCGCTGCACGCAGTGTATGCACAGGCAGCCGTGCGCTTGGATCGGATAAAGGACCCTATGAGTCGGTAAAGTTCATCCAAGCAATTGAGAGGCCTCATCAGCTGCAAGAGAGGAAGAGAGAGAGATTTAAATATTTGCTAGTGAGAGCACACAAAATGCTCTTTTAGAGTAGGTCATTACAGATACAGATGGAACAGCAGGGCTGGCTGAGAAAGCCAAAGCCAAATTCCGTAACACAAATACAGAGCACACAGTCTTCTGTTACATGACCTATGACAACTTTCTCAAACTTTTCAATTCTTACTGTCACTGACACTTTCATTCCCAGTCCTGCCTACAGAAGTGTTTTGCACTTCACTAGACTGAACAGATCCACCAGCGCCATCTCCATTAACAGTATTAGCAAAGAAGGGAAGCCATGAACAGGCAACCTACAACCGTATGCATATACAGGAGGGATGCCAAGACTGATTAATTGACTCGTTGAGAAAATCAGCTTATAATTAAGACAACACTGTCCTCTTTATGCAAATGTCTAGCTCCTAATCCCAACTAACAACATGGAAAAATAAAAATGAGCAGAAGGGACAAAAACATACTACAAAACAAGAACAGTTAACTTTGTAATGGGACTTAAAATAACCTCAGCATTACTGTATGGAAAATAAATGATGCACTTAGTAAGGAAGGCAGCTTCAAGGGGAAGGCTGCTCTCAGAAGAGGAACCTTTAAGAGTGGTCCAGCAATGAAAAACATCACCTCATGATGCTTTGTGTAAAGGAGATGTTCACAAGACAGTTTTGCAGATCCCATAATTGCAAATTCTCCATTCTCTTTATTCCAGAAACACTTAAAGATTCCAACAAACCTGCCTGCTACTCAAAGAATTAATCTTTTGAAAGACAGATTCATTCCCTAAAGATAGTTTTAACCAGTTAGGGAAACGGCAGCCTCACTTACTTCACTGGAAAGCATAGAGGTCAAGTAAATCAATTCTAACAACCAGCATATTTAAACCTGGGCACAAACAGATTTAACTTGGTTTAGGTCCTATTGCTTTAACTTGGTTTGAATTCATTTTAGCTAGTGCCATTTACTAATGCAGAGCTAAGGAGAACAGACGAAAAGGCACCGCCACAAACCGATCATGCACTCACTCTTAGCTTGCTCCAATTGCAAAATAAATGCATTAGCTTAATCTAGCATCCCTTGGTCAGATCTAGATTATGAGATGCTTTTATCTTGCCATTGAACTTTTCACTGAAATAGATAGGGAACAGGTTTAGGGGTAACAAGCACTCCACATATAGCGAATGTCTCCTGCTCCACCTGTGACTGCTTAGAAATTTAAGCTGCTGACTCAGCAGGGAAGGAGAGGCACAGGCACATGTCCTTCTCCCCTCCCATGCAGTCCAGCATGGATCCAACAAACAGGAACTATCAGTCTGTTAACACCCATGTTGGATGATACCAAAATAAAATTTTAGTCTGTCATAGGGCTCAGCTGATGATCACTGTATTTCTCAAGCCACAGTAGCTCAATCACTTCGTAAGTTGGTACAGGCAAGATTCTAGGAACTTCTTTTTTCTCCCTAATGGGCTGCAATATGGGCATTACGTCTTCAAACTATAGGCATTAAATGCACTTTCATAGCCCCGGGGATCTCTCAGTCACAAAGGTTTAAAGACAGATGAAGGCGTTTGAAGAAAGCCTAAATGAGGAGGTTGAGAAGAAAGCCTTCTGAGCTTTCGACCCCCGACATGCTCCTGGAGCAATCGCATTGCTCTGAAAGTACAGCGAAAAAGGAAAGCTACGGTTCCCTCTTCTCAAATACAGTGATGCCCTCCAGCTACCCCTTTTGATACAGAACTACAGGGCATCACATACCCCTAAAACAGAGGTGGGACAAAATCCTGCAAGAGAGCTCCTCCCTTCCTCCCCCCCGCTTTCAATAATTCAATTTTTCAATGGAATTAAGAAAGCCTCAGGAAAGGATTACAATAACATAGTGTGTAACATGGAAAGTTTAATTAGGCACTTAACATTTTTATTTACCTTATCTATATAAGCCGCTTTAGATGTTGAATTTGGAGGCAAGTTTGACTTGTCCAGGTAGAATGCCCTGAAAGAACAAACAGAATAACACAAAACCTGTTAATTATTTAAAGTCCTGAACAAAATGTATATACGTGACAATTCTCAGATATCATTCTAAGGTTGGAATTTTTTTTTTTAACTTCATGTTAAGAGAGGATCAAGGAATAAAACATGGGTAAATAGGCACTATCACTCTTTCTTTTAAAGTAACAAGGAACATTTTTTGCTCTGGAGACAAAACTCTCTCTGCCATTTGACAGTACAGTACAAAATTTTAATGTCTAGTTAGTAGAAAAACTGGATCCGAAACTGATTTTCACCAAAGCTATCCATGAAAAGGTTTGTGGCAACTGTCTCGATTTAAATAGTGACATTAGGAAACTTGGCATATAAACATTGCCTAAGCCTCGTGCCCTATAAGTTTGTTCATATTAGCTGTATATAACTGCAATAATATCAAACCAGAATCCCAAACATGAAACACGGTACTGACAGAGGAAACATACACAAGCTCGTAACATGAAAAGAAACAAAAAAAGCAAAAACCCTACAAGGGGCAAATACGCATCATACAAGCAAAATGGCATTTGCAGTGTGTGCACTCATGCACGCATGTGTAAATAAAAACCGAACTGCCTTTCTTTACAATTTCTGCATGCTTCTTTGAAAATGAATTACTGCCTGAAAGGAGAAGCCAAAGAAAACTTTCATTTACCTGCAGAACACAAAAGCGAGAGAAAAAACATACTTACTGTATCTATAGTCTACTAAAGCTCATCAACCCACATTCTCCCAGTTCCTTCTGTAACTTTTCACTTATCAATGAGCAGTACCAGAAAAAGTTTCTTTAAAATGGACAAATGCAACACACGCTGCTTTAAAAGACAAAGGTTGGCTAATTTCTGTGTGGCACAAAGGAGGCTGACGTTTTGTACACAGGGGTTTCCATGCTATCCTTCTCTCCCAAACCTGGAAAACGTCTCTTACTCAACACCAGAAAGGAAGAACTTTAGCAAAGAGCACAAAGGAAGCACGGAGCTCTTCTCTCTCCTTCAACTCAGGAACCCTAGAGGAATTTTTTTTTTTCTTCTTTCTACCTTACAAGCAAATTAATTGCTCACCACAGATGAGCTATCATTAAACATCTCATAGGCAGAGGAAATAGCTTACATATCTCTGGGATACGATCACAGTTTCTCTGCCTCTGCAGCACTGCTTCAGAAAAAAAATTTGTCCCTGCCTATGGCAGGGGTTTGAATCAGGGGATCTTTAAAGGTCCCTTCCAGTCCAAACCATCCTGTGATTCTCTGATCACAAAACTCATTCTGCTGGTGGAAAAACTCCTAAAACCTGGAAAAAAAAAAACCACACCTGGTAGGCTTTCCCTGCCTGGATGAGGCATCCAGTGAGCACCAGGCAACAGCTACCACCGCAGCAATTCTGGCCAAGGTTAAAATGAAACAAGAAAAACCCCACTGAACTATGGAACATGTAGGGGAGGAAAAAAAAAAAAAAAAAAAAGAAACAGATTCTCCATTGCCTGTGCACAAGGAGCAGACCTGACCAAAGCTCACAGCTGAGCCACGGCCCAGGCTGGAACCAAACTGCAGCTGCAATAAAATATTAAAATAAACACTGAAAAGAACACACCCGTGCATCCTAGCTCTCAAATGACAGGATCACCTGGATCCTCCAGTCATCCATACAACATAGATGGATAAGAGCTGCTCTCCTCCCCCTTTTTTGTGTTTTCATCTGTGAGAGAAGTTATTCACGTTGTTACACACTTGCAGGACAGGGGTGCAGACTGCAGATTTGAATAGGCTCTTACTCTTCAATAATCTGGAATAACTGAGCTGATAAAAAAAATCCAGTCACCTTTAATTCTAGTCGATTTTGCTTCCCGTAGCCTTGCAGTTTTGAAAAGCACCTTCTCCCAAATTTAAGGTTTGAATTAATCCCCTCAGAAAGCACAGCAAAGCTAAGCTACTTCTGTTATTCCATTAAGCCTGTTGCCTGATCCAGAATGTACGCTGTGTCAAAGGAAGCTGGAGACTATTGGAAGGAAAAGAGGTTTGCAGAGAAAATTACTCATACATCACTTCGACTGGCCACAGCACATAAAAGCTACTTCAGCAGCAACAGATCAACCTTTTTTCTTTGTTAGCAAAGCTAAAAAAAAAAAAAAACAGGCATCACCCTGTGATCCACCGAACATTATCAGACTGAAAGCCTATACTGTTCTTTCCTGCCATGCCACAGGAAAATCTGCTTCACTCAGAGTCTGTTCAGCACTCCCATTCTCTTTGGACTGTTATTTCAGCAAATTCAGCTGCATTAAATGAAACCAGAAACCAAATATAGAACAGTACACACATTAATGGAGTACATGGAAAATAATCAACTCAGGGTACAAAATGAAGCAACATGGACACTAGAATGGGATATACAATTATAGGAATTACTCCATTAATTCAGTTAATTACTCATTAACCTAAAGAACAAACAAAAATCAACTATACACAACATTAATTTTAAATATCAAAGTATCTTGTTACAAATGAAACTGCTCCCCCCCCCAATATCAGATAACACTCCCAGATGTTTCTCAAGTGCTTTATTTTTATTGCTTTTCATAAAAACTGTCTTCAGTATTTTACAGAACATGACAAACTGTGGACAGCATATAAATTTCCAAAGCACTTCACTTAATTACTAAATGCTTGTTAAGGTCCTTAATCATATTTTATAGGAAAAGTTAATGGCAATCTTGGCATGGTGCCCAATTTGGACAATATTTTCTAATCCATTTGAAAAGAAGAAGAATGAAATCATAGTTCTTTGTCTGCAGATGTGATGCTGGTTTTGCTTCTAAAAGCCTTACAATTTCTCTAAGCTGTAGCAGAAAAGCCTTTCTCTAAAAAAAAGGTAGAAAATCCAATAGGCATTAAAACTACAGGGGATAATTGCTGTGTTCGTAAGGTATCCCCTATGTAACAATGTGAAATAATGGGACAAGTATCTCAGGGAAAACTTACACTGGAATGAGGTAACAAATATCTTTGGGTTCAAAAAGAAAAATCTATCACAAGATGAATGCTTTCCCAAGATGTCTTCCCAGACCTCGAGTACAAAGGAGATGCAGAGGGACTGATGTTTTTAGTGAAGCACTTTACAGGGTACCTTCCAAAATTGACCTGGATACGTAAAATCCTGAAAATCTGAAATACTGAAAATTGAACTCTAACAAGGCTCCAAACCTGTAGACTAGACACACACATTCCTGAGTAACTTTGTAAATGCAAAAACTCAAGCGGAGCCAAGTTTCTAGTCTTACTCTCAATTTGTCGTTCCAGAAAGCCCACAGGGTTATCCTAGATGTTGATCACCTTTCCTTTGAAACACAAGGATAGTAAAGAAGTGACTGGAGTGCGGACAGGGGGAAGGGCAGGTAACTGGGTTATGGCATTAAATAAAGGCAAGTTGGGGGTTCTGCTCTAGAGAGGGTTTGCTTTGATGTTGTAGCACAGAATAATTTAGTCTTTTATATTTTCTTCATCGCTGTGGCACACATACAAATAAATTCATATTGTCTTCAACAGAAGGATGGAAATACATTTTAATTCTACTTGATTTTCAATCCCTTGGTCACAAGATATTCAAGATCATGTAGAAAAGCAGAGTCAACAACATGGCAAAGGATACATCAGTACAGAGGTCCACTAAGGAAGTGTTAGAATTGGTGTCTCTAATTCTTTTCTTCAGCTCAAACTGCGAAGCATGTATTTATGACATAGATAAATAATATCTCTGAGTATTTGCATATATATGCACATGTACTTTTGTACTTCTTCAATAACAACTCTGTGTTCTGTCATCTGGTTGTTAACTGTAAGTGAGCATGCATATAGCACGTGTATTTTATGTATGTATACACACATTTGGACATACATTTTTAATATGTACAATACACATAAAAATTCAATTGTTTCTACAGTAGAAAGTATCCATTGCAGAAACTATTTGCTGTCACAGCAAGCAAATCTAAGTGTTTTACATGTTCTTTCCACTAAATGGTAAGTCTCAATAAATGATAAATTACCAAGTGTTTTACATGTTCTTTCCACTAAATGGTCTCAATAAATGATAAATTACCAGGTATAATTACCCTCTCAGCCCATACTAAGGCCTAGTGATTTTAAATGACATGTCCTAACATCTACATCAGTGATACAATACTATGTACAGTAGAGAAAGGTTTAATTATAAGAGAAAACCTTCATGACAGTATCATGATTATAACCTCTCAAAGCGTATACATAGTAATATTCTGACCTTTCACAATTATTGGGCAAACTGAAGTGCAGAACGGAAAATTTTCACACCACGTGGCTCTGAATTTACCAAGGGTAATTCATATTTCACATGTAAGCAACTCGGTAAGCCCTTCCTTTGTACTCGGCACTGGTGAGGCCGCACCTCGAATCCCGCGTTCAGTTTTGGGCCCCTCACGACAAGAGAGACCTTGAGGTGCTGGAGCGAGTCCAGAGAAGGGCAACGAAGGTGGGGAAGGGCCTGGAGCACAAGTCTGATGGGGAGCGGCTGAGGGAGCTGGGGGTGTTTGGTCTGGAGAAGAGGAGGCTGAGGGGAGACCTGATCGCTCTCTACAACGACCTGAAGCAATAGGGCAAGAGGAAATGGCCTCAGGTTGCACCAGGGGAGGTTTAGATTGGATATTAGGAAAAATTTCTTCACCGAAAGGGTTGTCAAGCCCTGGAACAGGCTGCCCAGGGAAGTGGTAGAGTCCCTGGAGTAGAGTCTCTGGAGGTATTTAAAAGATGTGTAGACATGGTGTTTAGGCACATGGTTTAGTGGTGGACGTGGCAGTGCTAGGTTAACAGTTGGACTCAATGATCCTAAGGGTCTTTTCCAACCTAAATGATTCCACGATTCCTGGCTTACTCCAGGCACAAACCTGACAAACCACCTTTTCTCAGTCTCTACTGTAAGTGTAAGCAAACAAAA